TGTTTGTTCTGTCTAAAATGTTTATTTTGGAATAAAGAGGTTAATATAAAAAATATTTTTTGTCCGATTTATCGATTAATCGAAAAAATAATCGTTAGCTGCAGCCCTAGTTGAAATAAGAAATTTGAATAATTTCCTTTCCCATTGAGTTCCGTCCCAGTGTTCACGGAGATGGACGTCTGTGTCTTCAGCAGGAGTAGAGCTAACAGAACTGGCAGTGTTGCGAGGCAAGGGCTCAAACATGTACGGCTGGAAGCTTTCTACACCAAACCAAGCTTCTGCCGCCCTGGCGTCTTCTTCCACAACATCTTCGTCCCCGCTTTCCTCCTCTAAATAAAATATGTATGACAGAGGAGACTCATCCACCTCTGACACAAAACTCTCCTCCTCTGTCCATAGCGTTCCTTGACAGCGTCAAGTCACCAATTTAGTGCTACTTGGTCCCAATGGAATTTCCCATCGGGAATCTACTAGCACTAAGTTGCTAACTGGTTAGCAAAATGCTTCTGACTAACTGGCCACAACCAAACTTGCTTGCAAACCTTTTGCCACAACAATCCCACCCCCTTGATAATCGACCAATCACGTTCACTTTATTCACTTGTGTAAAGTCGTGCACCACTCAGGAGAATTCGGAACTGCAACGGTTGGAACAGCCGCTTCCCTACGACTTTGATGGTATAAATCTAAGGCTGTAGTATGTAAACTTGGTCCTTTGGTGGTGCTGCGACACTCCTACAAAAACGGGCCTAAGATGAGAACCCCAGGCATGTACGTAAAGGTCATGCTAGATAAACACACCACTACCAGGAAAAAGAGTCACATTTTGGTTACAAAGAGAGAGAAGGAGGTGTAACGTATTAATTTAATTAACAGGGTTTCCGTGGGTCATTAAAAATCATTAAAAGTCATTAAATTATTATTTTCATTATATTATTATTCATTAAATTTGATTATAGTGGCATTTAAAATGCATTATTTAAAAAAACATTTCTGAAAACAATTTCGTTTTGCACGAAACTGCTTCCAGTTGATTTTAAAGCCGTGTGTTCGGAAAAGAAGCTCGAGTTGGAGAAAAAGTATTTGAAAATGCTAATTTCAACTAAAGTGGCTAGAAAACAAGGAATTCGGGACCTGGCTGCAGCCTATCATCGGTAAAGATGACAAAGAATTTTGCCGGAACACTTTGTAATCAGAGTATAGCATCATGTTAATTAAACTTCTGGGATATTAATTTGTTCAGGTAAGTAGCAGAGGGGGTTGTTAATCAGTTTCAGCTGCTTTGGTGTTCATGAAATTAACAACAGGTGCACTAGACCATCAAAACAGGAATGGTTTTACATTTGGAGGCCACCGACATTTTTTCCCCTCCTCATCTTTTCTGACTCTTTTTCACAAG